TCATCAGCTGGAACAATCACATTGTCACGGAATGCCCGGAGAACCGAATTGTGCTTTTAATACTACATGTATATGGCTTTCATATGGATCACTGATTTAAATATGAACAAAAGATGTTTTGTTTTTATAAAAGCATGATTCTGTTAAGTGAAGCTGCATTATATGCCTCTATTACTGCACTATTGGGAGATGTATGTATAAATTATTGATTTGACTAAAAACAATCTTATCATTCTTGAAGTAGCTGGGCCATATATCAAAGAGAATTCTTTTATCATTTTATCAATTTACATACTTCCTTAAACTCAGACCGTTCATAACAAAATCTGCATGTAATTCATGAAGTAGTGAATTGTACACATGGAAAATTTAAATTTATTGCCATAGAAACAAATTCAAATAATTGGGAAACTAAAAATCTTGAAGTGAAAAGATTTCAATGAATACCTCCCACGGCCTGTCTTTGCTAAACCTATACAAAAACAGTTGCTTCATCCCAGTTTCAAAATGAGCATTTGAATTTCAAAATACAATATTTCATTCTAATAATCGCTATGAAGCACACAACACCAGCATGATTTCAAAAAGAGGCTAATTTTATGAAATATTTAAAGAGTTTTGGATAATTATATGAAAAAGCAACGTAGGTTTTAATATTGGTAATTGAGTTTGTCTGCCTAAATAATGCACATGAGGTCAGTTGAGTGAGTGGGTGAGTGGGTGAGCAGGTGAGGGAGTATGGTTTTACGCCGCTTTTAGCAATATTCCAGCAATATCATGGCAGGGGACACCAGAAATAGGCTTCATACATTATACCCATGTCAGGAATTGAACTCGGGTCTTCAGTGTGATATGTGGAGTAGGGCTGCAACGATTTGGTTCGATTTATCGAAAATCGAAACTGACACCTTAGTATCGATTTTCGATAACCATTATCACTATATCGATTCAATATTTGAATATTGTTTAAACACCGCAGTACGTATTTTTGACTCCAACTCGAGCAGCTCAAATCAGGCAAAACGTGATTGGTTGACGACGGGTTTATTATCCAATGAGAATCCTTGTTAATAGACATCGCCAAGTTAAGGATGGATTTCACGCTAAAAAAGCCGACTATGAGAGTTAAATGAAATGGGATGTGTTTACTTGTATGAACACTCGAAGTGAAAATGATCGTATTGAAGGTCCACAACTGAAAATCAAATCAAATTGAGGTCTGGGTGAATTGTTGCAAGTGTGGACGAGATGATAGATGAAATGAAAAATGGGAAATGTGTGAAATTGTGTGATTGTACTATTCCGACCATATCACTCGCAGGTGTTTGCAACAAGGTGAGTTCATCCTGCATCAGGTATCTATGGTACAAGTCCAAATAGCCAATTATATTGGACACCAATTTTGTCAAGTTTGGAAAAGTTGTCCATATGTCTACCATAATGTCTTACTGAGACCTTCAATATTGTAACCCACCATATAGCTCTAATATTGCTGAGTGCAGCGTTAAACAACAAACTACCAATCAATATTGAAACCTTGATGGAACAACTTCTGAGAAATATGAAGAATGACGTGTTAAGATTGCAACAGAGTGAGTGAGTAAATGTTGTTCTAAGCTGCATCTGGAATATTCACAGCTTGGTTGCAACAGAACAATTGTTTCTGTGACAGAAAAGAAATGCCATGGTCTCCAACAGAGATCCCATGACAAAAGATTGGCTTTGACAGATTGCATCTGTAGATAAAGATGATGGAACTCTATGGGGTATATAGGTAATGAATGACTGATGAATAAATCATTCAACAAACAATGGCATGGTGCTGGGTTCCTGCAAGACTTTAAATGGAATTCCCTGTGAAGAATGACAAATCCCATGGTAGACATGGGATATGCCAGGAATATTTGTTTGTTGGGCTAATAGTGTCATAGGGGACTCCAAATGAGAGTTAACTGTCATCTGATTGTGCTTTTCGTTCAAGATGACAGATCCAGGCGATCTTGGGAATTACAAACTCTTGAGACTTCACTGAATTAAATGCTGACCATTCCTCAGAGATCATTCGCTCTAACTACATTGTCGCTTGGTGGCAGTAAATCTTCTGAAAGGGATAGACATTCGCAGTGTATTCAGGAACTTTCTTTAACGTAACTTGGTGCATACAGAACTTAAGCGACCAAATTAAAGGGCTTTAAGGTTCTTTAATGCTTTGCTTTAACTCACTTTATTATGGAATGTTCCAACTAGATCCCCATAAGGGAATCCATGTGGAATTCACATATACACCAGTACATGACAAGAAATAAACATAGTAAGGTAATTGGTGAGTACATTTTACTACTTTTCTTGTACAATCAATTGCAAGCACACCCTGTTAATGAAGATTCCACAGGTAGGGCAAAATACCAACACTTTTCATAACATCTGGTATCATCACTATTTCATAATGATCATACAAACATACTTATGATCTTTTGGGATTTGTACAATAGGATCTGATTTCATTGGACATTTCTAATCATGGTGAGTGAGTTTAGTTTTACGCCACTTTTAGCAATGTTCAAGCAATATTCTGGTGAGGGACACCAGAAATGGGCTTCACATATTGTACCAATCTGGGGAATCAAACCCGGGTCTTCTGCATGGCGAGCAAATGCTTTAACCACTAGGCTACCCAATCACCTTCTGATGATCATGGAAATGGTTTAGTCACATTTATTCGACACTTTAACCAAAAGTCTGACTGTCTAAATTATTCTTGTCAAGTAAGAGCCAGAACACATTGTTATGATAAATAAATGTTACATATTGACATGAAATAAATCTGTTCATTTTTTCAGTGCTTCTCGGTGTCGTGGGGAGTGTTACAAATAACAAACTAATTCCATCCAGGTGTGACCTACCTGTTTCACATCTCTTTCACAGCAACAGGAAGGCTTTGTCATCATGTGTTACACATTATCTTTAATTTATATGCAAATCCTCTATCAATATCATTATCATAAAAATCCTCGATACATAAATAACAAAAATATCCAAAATATTGCCCGTCTGACGACATACACTTATCTAGAATAATATTTAATGAGAATATGCTCAGGTGATATTCTATTTTCACCCTGATAACTAAAATAAATGTTCATTTTGGTTTGAGTCGTATGAAATATGACCACAATGGGAACAGATCTTGCCACTTGTTTTGAAATGGCTGTTGAATAATGGCAAATAAAATCTGAAATTGGGACCTTAAGCGGATGCAATATGTGTGGGACTGGGTATTATGTTTCATGAATTGATGTCCCTGCCAATTGCAGCATTTATCATGAAATGTTTGCAAGGATGATACACATAAAAGATATGTATTTATGTATTATGTTTGTCTTTTCCCACCCACAAAAGTACTCATTGTAATCTGTCTACTGAGTGTGAGTGAGTGAGTTTAGTTTTATGCCACACTCAGTAATATTCCAGCTATATGGCAGCGGTCTGTAAATATTTGAGTCTGGACCAGACAATCCAATGATCAATAGCATGAGCATCGATCTGTGCAGTTGGGAACCAATGACATGTGTCAGCCAAGTCAGCGAACCTGACCACCCGATCCCGTTAGTCGCCTCTTACGACAAGCATGGGTTACTGAAGGCCAATATTCTAAACCGGACTTTCATGGGTATAATCTGTCTATTAAGCACTGCTATAACTTCTGCACTGTTGCAAACCTATTCACAAGACGTTTCACAGTTTTAATAAATATCAAATTAAAACTTACTAAAAATTAAAATTGACTAACTTTAATTGAGTCTGGACTTTTCAAAGTTACATTTCCACATAAAAATCCAATAAATGATATGATGGTTTATTGACTTTCATTTTCATACAAAAATAACTTCAAGGAATCACTGGCTATCTTGACAAGCTGCTTGATGGGTGAATGGTTGGAAGATTGACTTCACAGCAAACCTTGGATCGGTTTTGTACACAGCACACATTTGCCATCAATGTCCTGCTAACAGTACACTTATATAAGCATGGTATTTTTCCTGTTTACATAAAAGGATTTAATGTTATTGGTCCCACAGGACCCAGATAAGATATCTAGTGGATACTGCTGTACTATCTTACAGTGGTGGAGTTACCACCACTTCAACCCACTTGGGTCTCATTCCACTAAGCAACATAAACGCTATACCTATCATAAATCTTATGCTTACAACCATAATATGGACTTACGCTTGTTGTATTGCTAAGATCGCTATTGGAATCAGGCCCTTGGCACAGTTCTTCCCAGTGATCTTAGCACTACAGCTAACGTAAGTCAGCTTAAAGTATGAGAGTTATGAGAATTTCATACGATCGCTTTGTGAAAGGAGCCCTTTGATCCCAATTCAACAAAGGTCCATAGTGCTGTAACCATCGTAAGAGTCAAAGAAGGTGAGTTACAACAAACTTTCAGTAAGGTCTCTTAGTGGAATAAGACCAACGTTCATCATTTGCACAATAAACACACACTCACTAAACAGGAAATGTAACATAATTGCTGGGATTCAAATCCACGAGCATGGGATTTTAGGATGCTCATGGGTACAACTTCACAAAAAGAATTGCATCTCCCATGAAATTTGTCAACCTATGACCTTCATTAGCCATTGACAGACACAAGCAATATGGTCAGTGACCATTTTCTTTCAAGGTGACTTCCTCATTTGTTAATAAATAGCAGCCATTGAGAAACGTTCATCCAAATTTTTGTCAATTCTTGGAGGAAGATGAAGGTTACAGAATTATTTCCATGGATCCAGTTGGGACTTGAGAAAGTATTATCACAAACATCTGGTTTGATCATTTATATTTACAGCCACCATAGAGACATAACCACAAATGATGTTCCCATTAAAATGGGTGAAAACCTTGTCTCTGGTTTAACATCCACCCTGAAAAGCAGTCCGGTTGTAATTCAGCATTTCTCATTTTCTGGACATGATGCAAGTGCTGCCACCTACCTGAGAGTGCCACAGAGATGACGAGGAAGATGAGAAGCTGTAGTAGACGACAATACAGTGAACTGATCACCTGCCACGCCCGGCAGATGCTACTCTTCGGCTGACCGGCCTCAAACCTCATCTTTGGCGGTCAACACTCATTAGACCACTGGTAAAATCCCACAGCAGGTCAGATAGTAATAAGAAGTATCCAAAGATTGTCACTGGACCTGGGTTACTTGGTCACATTTCAGATCTGAAACAGGGATTCCATGTATTACAACATCAGCTTGATGCTGGTCAGAGTACAAGCACAGCTTATGGCAAGGTAAATAGGGTCTGGGTCTGACATGAACAACATAGTCAATGACAGTAAATGGGGTTTTATACAATCTGTGTCTGACACAAACAAGCACAGTCAGTGAGAAGGTAAATGGGGTTTTATACAATCTGTGTCTGACATGACCAAGCATAGTCTATGTCAAAGTAAATGAGGTTTTACACAATCTGTGTCTGACACAAACAAGCATAGTCTATGTCAAAGTAAATGGGGTTTTATGTCATCTGTGTCGGACACAAACAAGCACAGTCAGTGAGAAGATAAATGGGATTTTATACAATCTGTGTCTGAGATGAACAAGCACCGAGTGAGTCAGTGAGAAGGTAAATGGGTGATTTATATCATCTCTATCAGAGACGTTCAAGCTCAATCAGTGAGAAGACAAATGGGGTTTTATACAATCTGTGTCTGAGATGAAGAAACACTGTCAGTGAGAAAACAAATGGGGTTTTATACAATCTGTGTCTGAGATGTAGCTTGGCAGTTGAAGTGAAAATTTGAGTGTTTTCATTTACAATCACCACTAACAAAGTGCTGAGTTGATATTTTAATTTTTTGACCCATCTTCTATTATTGTGACAATTAAATCTCCATTTTAGGCCTCTTTTATCTCAAAGATCTGAAAGAAAGCTAGAACTAGAAATCATTTAAATGTTAGCTCAACTGTGCTGTGTTGACCAGAACCCAAGACTGGCTAATTTGGATGCTTTACATACGATTTCGAATTTGGCATGGGTCTTCATTTATCAAAAGTTCTTTCACATGGAAAATATTATCTTTGACAACTGTAATATTGACCAAAATCGAGGGCAATTAAATTCAGTGAAGGACTGCTAAAAGACCTAATGTTCAACTGTTTTTGTAGAAGTTATATCATAAAGAAGTCAGTCTTTGAAAAGTTGAAATGAACATAATGTAACCTGGCACCTTGCTAACAAAAACACCATAATTCTCATTTTCCTACATGTAACTCCTACATGTGGTTCCAATTATCATTATCAGGAAACCTTTCAGATACCAATTTCACAATAGCTATGGCCATTCCACTCCACAAATGGTCATGTTTCTGTTGACATCCTAACACTGATCAGCTTTACCTCGCCTTCATCAGACATTATGCATACACAAAAGTTGGTCAAAATTCAAATTTTGTCCAGCAACAAAAGGTGACAATAGATGAAGTTGACCTTGGATGAAGATGCATGACGATGACAGATGCTGCCACTCTGCTGGTCCATACCATTTGAATATAAATGAAAGTCTTCATTAAATCAGAAGGCTAGCTTGACCAAAGTTGGCTTCACTCTGTACAACATTTGTTTCATTTGCTTGGCTATCACTGTTGACATTTTTAAATGTATTACACACAAAAAAGAACACACCAATGACTGACTGACTGACTGAGTTTGGTTTTACGCCGCTTTTAGCAATATTCCAGCAACATCACGGCGGGGGACACCAGAAATCGAACACACCAATGACAATAGAGAGAAGTTGGAATTAGGATACAGCTACCATGCGTTTAATTTTTCTAAATTCTAAATCAATGAAGAAACACTATGTCAGTTTATAATCTACACTGTTTATTTCATATCAAAGTTTCAGTGAGTTTGTTTGTTTGTTGTTTAAGGCTGAATTCAGCAATATTTCAGCTATATGGCAACAGTCTGTAAATAATCAAGTCTGGACCACACAATCTGGTGATCAACAGCATGAGCATCGATCTACGCTATTGGGTTACGATGAGATAAAGTTTAAATGAGAATATCCAACTGACCATGTGACAGTTATATATAACCCACATTTATTACATGCAACAAGGAGGCTATTTCAATACAAGTTTCGTTTCTACCTCAAATACACACTGACAAATGACCAAATTCATTCAAACACAAGCACCAGAAAATCAATATAACTGTCCTTCGGAAAGTACCATCCATAACAGTGTAGTGTCCAGAATTTCAACAGTATTACAACTTTATAAGTGGCAACGACATTTGAGGTAGGCAGTTACAACCCTCGTATCTCACACCTGCTCTTGGAATAACCTGACCTTCTCCTTTGCTCTGTGTCTACATGCTAGCACAAAACATCACCTCTTTATGGCTCACATGAAACTGTGCTTGAAGGCTCAATAGGCTTGTTTCATTTTAATCAGTGCTATTCTGATACGATGGGTAATTTTAGCATTGGCAACCTGTTATTTTTTCACTTCTTTCACACAATAGATCCTCTCAACTCACGCCTGGTTTATAGGGTAAAAACCAGATTGAGGTTCACGGATTTCATTGATTCAGTACTAGTCATAGACTAACATATGGGAGCGCCTCCGTGGTGTAGTGGTTAGAGCGTCCGCCCGGAGTGCGGAAGGTCGCGGGTTTGATCCCCGACCGCGTCATACCAAAAGACGTTAAACTATGGAACTTGTGGGTCCCTGCCTGGCTCTCTGCATTAATGGGTACAACAAGGACTGGTTGGCTCGGAGTCAGTATAATGTGTCTGAGTGGGGTATTCATGCTTCACTGCGGCATGGTATCTCAGTGGGCTAGCACTATAAAACCAGCTTCAGTCTGGGCTAGTACAAGCAGCCGCACATACACATACACACGCATGCACGTTGTCATATGAGCAAAATATTCTCAAGCACGACGTTAAACCCAATTCCACCACCACCACTAACATACGGTCTCTGATACAAAAATAGTTTACAGAAAAATACAGTTGTTACATTGTCTTAACAAAATATAATGAAAAGTAACCCAGAGTTTCTTTGTTTGCAGACATCAGTAATCTTGACTTCCACATATTATAGATTTGTAAGTCTGGTGTTGGATATATTAGTTTCAGGGTCTGTCTGAAAGATTACACTAGTTGAAGAGGATAATGTTTCACACACTTCTCTTCAATCCTGGATATATGCTGTGTACATCTTTTAACAATATACTAGCCATATCACAGAAAGGGACACCAGGAATGGTATAATTATAATTAATGATTATAAAAATGAATGGTGCTCATGATGTTGATCACTGGATTGTCTGGTCCAGACAAGATTATTACAGACCACCGCCATATAGCTGGAATATTGCTGAGTGTGCCATAAAACTAAACTCACTCACTTTAATAATAATATTAATAATTTAATCTATATTTAATTGCAAATATATGTGGGTAAGACAGATAAAGCTGCATGACCCTCATGGTCCAGCTTTTGACTGTCGATGATTATTTTCCAGGACCTTCAGTTACTTTTTTAGTAGGTACACTATTGATAATTACTGGAAAAAAATGCTAGAACAAAGTAATAAAAAAGAAATATATGACAAAATGGAATATCTTCACAATAGAATGATTCCTAATTGAAAAATAGGAGCTACTTTTAGTATAACTGAACAGGTGAACAGGGTTAGAGGACGACTAACAGGATCAGGTGGTCAGACTCACTGACTTGGTTGACACATGTCATCGTATCCCAGTTGCGTAGATCAATGCTCATGCTGTTGATCACTGGATTGCCTGGTCCAGACATGATTATTTACAGACCACCATCATATAGCTGGAATATTCTTGAGTGCAGTATAAAACTGAACTCACTCACTCGCTTGTATAACTGAGTCAGACTGAAAGTAAGTGTTTTAATAGGCCATCAATGGTTATTTTCATCATGTCATCATTTCATGGCTAACTCCATCATTAATTCAATGTGTTAATTAACTGAAGGATGTCCTTGTGTGTAGTAGGGGAAATGTTATATTCCACCCCCCCCCCCTGTGATGCCATCTATTATTTCACTATCTTTTTAAGTTTTCACAATTCAGATTTGAGAAGAAAGGATATATGGAACTATCATCAATATACTTATACACAATATTTCAACTATTTTCTTTTAGTTTGGTCACAGTGACCAACCTTTGCAGAATGAGGACAGATATCATCAGATTAATACATATATATACAAAATTATTTTCACTATTGTTAGTTTTTATAAGAATAACTTTTTTACAATCTTTATCACTCTACATTACAAAACCATACAAACCACTGAACAATGTCTTGATCTAAAATTGCATGCACATGATAATTATTAAAAAACAACTTCTTCTCAAATCTTTCACTTGATGGTCATGGCAACTGTAACTACATGTTGTACATCTTTAATGCTTTAAATTGTAACTCTGGGTCCTTCAACAGCGAGACCTTAGTGCTGTGATTGACAAAAGTCAAAAGGTATGATTAACGATTATCTCAGCGAAAGACTTTTTTTTATCCAATATGATATAGTTCATAAATAATTAAACTGCAATAAAGTTCTACTGTATTTGACAGGAATATCACAGCTCAAATATTGCTAAAAGTGTCATGGAAATACACTCTCTTATCTAATTAGATTGTTGTATATTGGCCACGTATTGGCTCCACCAAAGCACTTAACATAAGGATGGGTAGGAAAAGTCAACTATAATTCCCACTTCGGTAATGACAATAAATACTGTATTCTCCCCAGGGTGTTGAGTCAATTATGTGTCACGACAAATCACCAAACTGAGATAATGATGCCATTTGGAGCCTTATAGTATTAACAACAATGTGGTATACATTCAGTCGTTGTAAACAGATCATTAGCATAACAAATGGGATTCTGAAACGGAATGCCACTTCAATTACGAAACAAGCGGAACATAAACATGACTCAATCAGAAGTCCCAAGCTCTATTTCCAAATCTATGACACTTGAACTCTAAAGACTGCCAACACAGCAAAGATTGCATTTTTCAACCCATCCCTGAAATTAATTTGTTGAAGTTTTGACACAGCATCGTTCTGCTTGTTTCACGGCATCATGCAAGCCATGCAGACAGCATGTATATTCCATTGTTTGTTCCAAGAACCAAAGCTAATGATGCTGGAGCTTGATATCTTAAATTCAAAATGTCAATGTCAGAGAATAATCACTTTCGGTTATCTACCGAAACAGATTCCATTGATGTGCAGTATGTGGGCTCTTCTCTGCCTTTTTCTGAATTCCCAAAGCTCATCACATACTATTTCTTGCTTATCCGATATAAACAGTTTCAGAAACAGCTGGAGTTCCATTACTCAATATGGCTACCTGAATCACCCCCATTTGTCTGTTGCAGTACTTTCATGCCTCAAACTGCATAAGGTTTTGTAAGAGATGTTCGACTCAGTCTAACAAACGACATTGACTACAACATTGACTTTATTTATAGTGAGTGAGTGAGTTTAGTTTTACGCCGCACTCAGCAATATTCCAGCTATACGGCAGCAGTCTGTAAATAATAGAGTCTGGACCAGACAATCCAGTGATCAATAGCATGAGCATCGATCTGCGCATATCGGAACCAATGACATGTGTCAACCAAGTCAGTGAACCTGACCACCCGATCCCGTTAGTCGCCTCTTACGACAAGCATGGGTTACTGAAGATCAATATTCTAACCCGGATCTTCATGGGTATATATAGAGTTATAAGGCGAGGTAGTGCCCCTTAATATTACTAGAATACTTACAATGTTACAGATCAAATAAAGTAACATAAATACAGAAATCAAGTAAGCTCAAATAGTGAGTGAGTGAGTTTAGTTTTCCAGCAATATCACAGCAGGGGATACAGAAATGGGCTTCACACATTGTACCCATGTGGGGAATCGAACCTGGTTCTTCGACACGACGAGTGGACCACTAGGCTACCCCCACCACCCCATAAGTTGAAATAAGATCATAAATAAACACGGAGGTCAAGAATAAAACCTACACAAAAAGTGGGGACAGGTTTCAACAGAACAGAAATATTTTGCGTACTAATACATAAAGATATGTATAATTTGCTGAAGACATTTCAGGGTAGAAATTCTTTTCTTATTGCACCAGAGGCGAGACAAAAATCATGACAGCACAGAAATAGGCATTCCTCATGGCTGAAAGGCACATTTACATGTATTATACATTTGAAAAACTGACGGTCAGAAAATTGGGGAAAATTGATGATTTGTATTACATAAAGTCAGTGAAAGCATGTTCTCTCACAAAAGTTACCACAAAAGCATTGAACATATTTATATACAGACATGTTTCATCAAATATAACTGGGGATTTAGAAGTTAAAGAAATGCTATCAATATCAATTAAAAGAAAGAAGATAAAACTTTCATTACAATTGCTTATCATCTACAATGTATATACAATGTACATTTTTCATGTTGAAATGACATTTCCACATGTCAGATGCAGATGGACCAATATTCTTCTTGTTGCTACACTTTAATCCTTACATCATACAAAAGTACCTTTTCAAAAGATTAATGTGACTGCATTTAAATATGGCTGCTGAGCTGGCCATTAAAAATGACGATAAATGTATAACACTGTCCTGTACACTCGAAGGGACAACACTACAGCAGAACACTGTCGACGATGAGACATCTGATGTAGCATCATTTGAAAACAAAAGATTAATATGACTGCATTTAAATATGGCCACTGAGGCAGCCATTAAAAATGATGTTGGAAATATAACACAGTCCTGTACATACAAAGGGACAACACTACAGCAGAACACTGTTGAAGATGAGACCTCTAATGTAGCATCATTTGAAAACAAAAGATTAATGTGACTGCATTTAAATATGGCCGCTGAGGTGGCCATTAAAAATGATGTTCGATGTATAACACTGTCCTGTACACACAAAGGGACAACACTACTAAGTCTGTTGAAGACCTCTGATGTAGCATCAGGTTTAAGGGCTATATGTATTAAGATTAAAGCTCATATATCAGGGTAAGGGCAATAGTGTAGCCTAGTGGTTAGCATTCACTCATCATGGTGAAGATCCAGGTTCGATTCTTGGGTACAGTGCATGAAGTCCATTTCTGGCATATCTCACCATGATATTGCTGGAGTATTGCTGAAAGCAGCATGATACCATACTCACACCCCATATCAGTGTACAATATCACAATTCACCAATACCTACAACATACTTCTACAAAATAAACATAATCACCATATATTATCGTTAGACACAAATCAATAAACAATGGAATAAATGGTTCGCCAATGAGCCAGGCTGGTGTTTTGGTGACCATAATGACAACTGAAGTACTGACAAGCTTAAAATGAAATCAAAATCTGATCCTTGTATTCCTAGAAACTAATGTACCATTTGTCAGATTGTATATGCAGTAATATGTATGCAAGGCTTAATTAAAAGTTAAGTGTAGGTAACAGCTGTGTTATAGTGAACAAAGTGGCAATTATTGAACAAACTAGCTGTTAGATTTGACATCTGTGTAGTGAAGGTCATTATATCGTTATGAAGTAATCATTATTCCTTTTTCATTACTTGTCTTGACAGCATAATAATAATAACAATGTTAAAATTTGTATAGCGCCTGGATCCAAGGTTTGCTTTAAGGCGCTTGGTCGAATGTTCTGTTGAAGGTAACTGTTTTTAGTTCTTTTTTGAGAATTAATTCGATTAGATTCAATGATATTCAATGTGAAACATGTAATCAACTTTTCAAATAAAATGATAACAAAACTGATAATAAGATAATAATCATAAATCTGCACTTATATTGTGCATCACTTCACACAAATATATGCAGATAGTTCACTGTTAATATTTTGATATCAATATAATTCAAACTGTTAAAGTTCAACATGTAATAAAGCAAAACACAATTTGTTCAATTTATGGGGATGGGAAGATTATAATAAAACACCTCCTCACCTCTTTAAATAGTGTCTTCTCTCTGTAGTGTTCTCCAGTGTTGACGTTCACACTGTATCCGAATCAGAGATCCACCACAGTATTGGTCACACGTCTCATAAATGTCTAAGATTCTTCTATATCCCAGAATACAGCCTTCAGTCACCTGATCACATTGTACTTCACAGTCACCAATACTCCGATCGCTCAATTGAAATGTACATTCATTGTACAAGAATATCCACTGTTAAAGTATTTTGTGTGAAACCTAAAGAATTATGAAATATATGTCCTGTTCGCAAGACTTTCGAAAAACAGGTTATGAAATACAGCCGTATTCACATGCTTGGAATGAGGGATGAAACGCCTTCCTTGCTGTGAACTGTATTAAAATCCTTGTAGTCAAGTTTTCTGTTAACACACCTGGTGCATAATCAGCTCCTCTTCCTATCACTCCTTCCGTCTGTCATTCAATCCCAGATTTTCTCTGACAATGTGGAGGATTACTTTGAGCAGAGAGTTATCTGCGTAATTTGGTCCATATCATTGCCTACACGGTTTCCGAACATGCACTACTTAATCCAGCCTGCTCCTAGTCTTGTACACCTGCGGTTCCCAACCTGAAATTCACAACAAAGTATTTTGATTAGCTTAATTACACACCACATTACCTCCAGGGAATGAAGCTCTGGTCTCAACGTGGAGGCGAGAGTGGTTTGTTTACACTACACCACACATGTCAAAATAGTCGTCTTCAAACAAACAAATTAAACCCAACTGACATAAAACAGAGAAGAGATTCTTCTCCAGGGATTCTTCTCTGTCTCCAGTGACAATGCACTAGTCTTATGTAGCTAGAAATATGCATGTATGCATATATGCATGATACAAAAGAACTCTCCTTTGAGTTTTGAGTATAATGTTGTGGCAATAAGAAAAATCCTTTGATAATTTTGCATGAAAAGATCTTGACAGACAATTCTAGATTTGAAATGGCTTCTTAAGAAACCTAGAGCCACATAAAAATGTGTTTTCAGTCTAGCTATGATATTGCAAAAGAAAAGAATAATCACTGTATTGAAAACACTTTTTTTGGGGTGATAAAGACCAACTTTATGGATGAACAAATTCTTTAATCAGGTGATGCGATGTTTCAATACAGATTCTTGTGATTCTTGTCTCACAGTCAAGCAGATTCTTGTATCTGCTTGACAACGAGACAAGAATCTGTATAGAAATGTCACATTACCTGAATAAAGAAGTTGTTCATCCATAAAGTCTGTCCTTATCTGACTCTCCAACTTCTAAAAATGCCATTCAAAGAAGTCATCTTTGTGCATTACTTTATAACTTTTCTTTCAAGAACTAAGTTATTTAATAAACCTCAAATCAATGTACACAATCTTTAGTCTTTTGGCATTATAACAAAACAACCAAGTAAATGTATGTGGAATAAAGATGATGAAAATAATAAAAATGGAAGCATGAGACCTATTGTCTGGAAACAGATGGGAAATCTTAAGGTTAAAAAGAGTGCTAAAAACTTACAACGTGACAGCCTGAGTTAATAGTCCCTTTTAATATGAGTAACAAGACTATTCAGGTTAATGATACTAAGAAAGTGTAATCTCAAATATAACATATGTTACAAGACTATTCAGGTACATGACTTCAAATTAAGAAACATAATCATTGTGATTTCAGAAATATCATCAAAATGTGTTCATGATACAGAATGAAGCATGGAGAACACCAGGTGTTAAAACCATCTGGTTATCTTAATGACAGCATAAACTGACCCCTAAATCTATGTGAATCTACTTTACATTGTGTACATCAGTAAGGAGCAAAAGTCTAAGCTGCAATATATTATTAAATTGTGACATTTGCACAGACAGACTGATTGCTTATTAATTTACTTGTTTAAAGTTATTTGTGGATATCTGCAGACAGAATGGATATATTATTAAAGAATTGCTTCAAGAATGTCTTGCCAAGTACCAAATCACTGTCAACTTAATATTCGGTTCTTCATCTTCAATTTTTCCAACATGTTTCATCAACATCTTTTTTTTTCATTTTGGAGAAACACATACTTCTTTCAAGTACATATGATCTTTTAGGTTCAGACTGTAAACAGACTGTGCTGTAAAATATTAATGACATGTTTGGTAAATGGTTTTGAAAATGTAGTTCCTAAATAAAATAGCAGATCAAACATAGCAAGATGCATGCCCTGCTGAGATAACAGAAGAAATGTATGTATCACCAAAATCCATTTATGAATAATTCATATTCATAAAATTATTATCTCAAAATGGTTGGATGCAGTAGATTTTACAACTGGACCACAGAGATTGGACTGTTTTATGAAGTCAATTTTCTAAACAGTTTTATGCAGCAATTTAATTTAGACAATTTGAGTAGAATCCCAAACATTAAAATCACATAAGGAATTTGTGTCAAAGTTTATTCTGACATTCCTGCTTAAGTCTGACATAAAGTTTAAATTTGTATTATCCAGGGAACAATATTCTTTTAATATTACTACGCTCTAGTATTGAGTAAAATGAGTAACAAGTAAAAGTTACATTTGTTAATAAAATACTAAAGTACAAAATATATGAAACTATTCAGCTCATAATAACAAGGTTATATGTATGTTAAAAACGGTAAGAAATACCACAAGAGTCGTCAGAAGATAAGAAATTCACCAAACCCCTACCAATTCAAAAGAAAATATAATCTTTTTGTGACACCAAGCGAACAGAGAATTCCTATCTCATCTGTCTGTCCGTATCCAGGAGTGTTATTGAACACTCATACCAAGGCCACAGACTTGGGATTTGGAATCTTGTATTTGTGTCTGGTCCTATTTTGCAAAGATATCACACAATATCTGAAATCCTATGAAGATTTAATAGCACCAGCTTACAATCTGGTCATTGTACATGTTTTGAGAAATAAATAGGTACTTTTGGAGGTATGCTCTGGAAAATAATGCGTTGAGCCAAAGTCAAACTTGTTGAAAATGAACAAATGATATTTCTAAAATTCCTAAATAGCAAAAAGGCAGCAATTGACACCATATCTTAATATGTGCAATTTTTCCTAAAAGAATATCTGTTAGTCTTAGAATTATGGAGCAATCAAAATTGATTATGACAGACAGATTACTATAGTACTCCATATTATATGATTTAAAAACATTTCAGATAATAAGAACAATTACTCAAAACCTTTATCCTTTAAAAACATCTTTAAAAATGTATTGTTAATGTATGCATATATGAAGTGTTTTGAATGTCAGGTAAACTGTAACGTGAACACTTTCAAGGGAATGGATCTTACATCACAGGTAAGGAATTGATGCCTGTAAGTACAGTTTCATGCACAAATAGAGACAATCAGTATAAGCACAACATTCATGTCATATTGGAGACAGATAGAATTACTGAAGGATAATATTGGGGAAAGATTTATGATAAAACAACACCAAACCACACTAAAACACTGATAATCACGCATGCCTGGTAAATTGTCAAATATTAGCAGCTTGTGATAAGATGCTGACTATTCTTCTCAGGTGTTCCACAGTAAGTAAGTGAGTGAGTGAGTGAATGAGTATGGTTTTATGTCACTTTTAGCAATATTCCAGCAATATCGCGGCAGGGCACCAGAAATGGGCTTCACATATTATACCCATGTGGGGAATTCGAGCCCGGGTCTTTGGTGTGACGTGTGAATGCTTTAACCACTAGGCTACCCCACCACCCGTCTGTTAAGAGTAATGTTTTGATACTGTAAATAATGGCGTCTGGACCAGACAATCCAGTAATGGACATTATGAGCATCAATCTTCACAATGGGATATAATGACATGCATCAACCAGGGTAGCGTGTCTGACTGCCGGGTTCTGTTAGTTACCTCTGAAGACATCGAGTGAGTAAGTGAGTTTAGTTTTATTCGCACTCAGCAATATTCCAGTTATATGGCGGACGTCTGTAAATAATAGAGTCTGGACAAGACAATACAGTGATCAACAGCATGAGCATTGATCTGCACAATTGGGAACCGATGACATGTGTCAACCAAGCCAGCGAGCCTGACCACCCGATCCCGTTAGTCGCCTCTTACAACAAGCATGGGTTACTGAAGGTTCACTCTAACCCGGCACCTTCATGAGTTAAGACATCAGGTACAGGTTATAGAAGTAAAGACAGTTCCCCACTAAACTTGTTACCCTATTCTGCTTTCTGCAAGCCCATCTGCTATAGTTTCATAGGCCATTACATGCCAACATACTATCCATTAATACACTTTTGTGATAACATCAGTAATGTTTACATGTAATAGTGTAAACTAATGTTCACTAAATGCATGAATGCAACAAGTTCATGGTTATTCACCTTATGAAAACAATTAAGCAAATTTGATGAAAAAACATAACATATCATGAAAGATATATTATTATATATCATGAAAATATTGGCTGCATTCCAGTGAGAATGATCACAACATGATTTGAATAATATCGAAATACATCTTGTTACGCATAGTAGTAGTGATAGTGCTGGGGTTTATGATCATCAGCGATTCATACTGCTGGGGTTTGGTGGTCTTCAGTGATTCATACTGCTGGGGTTTGGTGGTCTTCAGTGATTCATACTGCTGGGTTTGGTGGTGCTCAGTGATTCATACTGCTGGGGTTTGGTGGTCTTCAGTGATTCATACTGCTGGGGTTTGGTGGTCTTCAGCAATTCCTACTGCTGGGGTTTGGTGGTCTTCAGTGATTCCTACTGCTGGGGTTTGGTGGTCTTCAGTGATTCCTACTGCTGGGGTTTGGTGGTGCTCAGTGATTCCTACTGCTGGGGTTTGGTGGTCTTCAGCGATTCATACTGCTGCTGGGTGATTTGGGGTTTGGTGGTCTCTTCAGTACTGCTGGGGTTTGGTGGTGCTCAGTGATTCCTACTGCTGGGGTTTGGTGGTCTTCAGCAATTCATACTGCTGGGGTTTGGTGGTGCTCAGTGATTCATACTGCTGGGGTTTGGTGGTCTTCAGCAATTCCTACTGCTGGGGTTTGGTGGTCTCAGTGATTCAGGTCTTCAGTGATTCTCATACTGCTGGGGCTGGGGTTTGGTGGTCTTCAGTGATTCATACTGCTGGGGTTTGGTGGTCTTCAGTGATTCCTACTGCTGGGGTTTGGTGGTCTTCAGTGATTCATACTGCTGGGGTTTGGTGGTCTTCAGTGATTCCTACTGCTGGGGTTTGGTGGTCTTCAGCAATTCATACTGCTGGGGTTTGGTGGTCTTCAGTGATTCATACTGCTGGGGTTTGGTGGTGCTCAGTGATTCCATACTGCTGGGGTTTGGTGGTCTTCAGTGATTCCTACTGCTGGGGTTTGGTGGTCTTCAGCAATTCATACTGCTGGGGTTTGGTGGTGCTCAGTGATTCATACTGCTGGGGTTTGGTGGTGCTCAGTGATTCATACTGCTGGGGTTTGGTGGTCTTCAGTGATTCATACTGCTGGGGTTTGGTGGTCTCAGTGAATTCATACTGCTGGGGTTTGGTGGTGCTCAGTGATTCATACTGCTGGGGTTTGGTGGTCTTCAGTGATTC